AACATGAAAACATTTAATAACAGCACATCCGGACAATTTGTAGCGGGGACAAGCAGCAAACTAGTTACTAGCAAAACTAGTACCTAGTCAACCGACACTTGGCCTTGATCACCACCTACACCTTCCTAGGCATGTTATCTACGAGGTTAGTGCAAACCTTTACAGGGATCTTCTCGCACTCTTCCTGAACCCACGCTTTTGCATAAGGGGGTGAGCACTAGGAAAATCGCGAAATATTTGAACGTATGCAAGAGTACTGTGCACGATTTCATGTTGAATATTATCTCTAAGACTAGCCATGCTGAGGTGTGGCCAAAGATGCCATTAGTCGATTGGTCTCGTCTTATCATGGATCGTCTTCATCGCACCGTTGTAGGTAAAAATTACGAGCAGAGTGGCGAAAACTTGCGTATCTGCCACGAAACTTAGGGTAACATAGTACGGTTGACAATGCATCCTTGCACTATTAGAATCACGCTAGGATCCGTAGGTCTCTGAGCGGTGCAGCAGTCGAAGTAGTCGTGACTGGTGGGGAAAAATATCCGGGTTCAGGTCTGGTGAGGAAGAGGGTCACTCCAGTGCTATAAACTCATGCTCTCCAAGCCATTCCAAGCCTAGGAGGGACACATGGCTTAGAATGGCTTAGAGAACACGAGTATGTTACGCTGGAGTGACCCTTTTCCTCACCAGATCTCAACCCGGATATTTTTCCCCACCAGTCACGACTACTTCGACTGCTGCACCGCTCAGAGACCTACGGATCCTAGCGTGATTCTAATAGTGCAAGGATGCACTGTCAACCGTACTATGTTACCCTAAGTTTCGTGGCAGATACGCAAGTTTTCGCCACTCTGCTCGTAATTTTTACCTACAACGGTGCGATGAAGACGATCCATGATAAGACGAGACCAATCGACTAATGGCATCTTTGGCCACACCTCAGCATGGCTAGTCTTAGAGATAACATTCAACATGAAATCGTGCACAGTACTCTTGCATACGTTCAAATACTTCGCGATTTTCCTAGTGCTCACCCCCTTATGCAAAAGCGTGGGTCCAGGAAGAGTGCGAGAAGATCCCTGTAAAGGTTTGCACTAATCTCGTAGATAACATGCCTAGGAGGGTGTAGGTGGTGATCAAGGCCAAGTGTCGGTTGACTAGGTACTAGTTTTGCTAGTAACTAGTTTGTTGCTTGTCCCTGGTACAAATTGTCCGGATGTGCTGTTATTAAATGTTTTCATGTTGAAGGACCATGAAATATACTACAATGGTTTTAGGAGATTTGAGTGAGTGCTCTAACTGCTCCTCTCTACGTGTATGGCCACCATGAATTAAGGCTTAATGTTTATAGCGTACAGCTCGTCAAAATATAAAAATATGCTAAACATGTGGACAATTGTTTCCGCCACTGTAGCAGCACAGCGCGACTACGAACTTCACTCCCTCGACTTCTCTACTGCCTTTCTTCAGGGCAGCCTACACGAGCAGGTCTACCTGCGTCGACCTCAGGGCTTCACTAGTACCTTCCCCCCTGGGACCTAGTGGCTTCTCCGGCGCCCGGTCTACGGCCTGCGTCAGGCTCCTCGCGAGTGGCACGACACGCTGCATGCCACGTTAGCAAACCTGCAGTTCTTTCCGTCCTCTGCTGACCCCTCGCTGTTTGTGCGTTCCGGCCAGACTCCGTTCTACATCCTTGTCTACGTAGACGACCTGGTCTTTGCTACTGCTGACAGGGACGCACTGGCCTCTGTGAAGGCCGAGCTGCTGAAGAGACACACCTGCACTGACCTTGGAGAGCTGCATCGCTATCTTGGCCTGCAGATCTCCAGGGACAGAGCAGCACGCACCATCACTCTGACACAGTCACACTTGGTGCGTCAGGTCCTTCAGAGGTTCGGTCTTCAGTTCTCCTCCGCACAGCCCACACCTCTACCTGTAGACCATGGGCTCTCTGGTCTGGTCCTTGATGAGCCAGTAGAGCCCAGTGGACCCTACACTTAGCTGGTGGGTTGCCTCATGTACCTGGTGACTTGCACTCGCTCAGATCTTGCATACCCTCTCAGCATCGTGGCTCGCTTTGTGGCCACTGGCAGACACCGGCCACAGCACTGGTCGGCCGCTAAGAGGGTTTTGCGATATCTAGCAAGTACATCGGGCATGGGGTTAGTGCTAGGAGGACGCAGGCCGGTGGTTCTCACCGGGCACACAGACGCTTCTTGGGCAGACGACGCTGAGACTCTCAGGCCATCTCAGGGCTACTGTTTTAGCCTTGGTTCGGGTGCTATCTCTTGGAGATCCACTCGCTCGTCGTCTGTTTCTCAGTCCAACTGTGAGGCTGAGATCTACGCTGGTGCCATGGCGGCATAGGAGCTCCGCTGGCTGACCTTCTTGCTCACTGACTTAGGTGAGCGGCCTATCTCTCCCTCGGCTTGAGGGCAGAGCGAAGCATATCCAGCTGCGGTACTTCCTCCTGCGTGAGTTACAGCAGCGTCGCCAGGCCCGTGTAGTTCACTTGGCCTCCGGTGCCAACACAGCTGATATCTTTACTAAGGCGCTTGCGCCTAAAGATCATCAGCGGCACTGTGTACAGCTTGGTCTTGTTCCTGTAGCTTCTCATTTGCTAGGGCCATGATTGTGTACTCTCTAGTATATATACCTGTCTGACTGGCCTTGTGGCCTTACCTCCAGTGGCTGGACTAGTAGTGCCGCCCTGGCTTGCTTTAGTCTTGTTTGTACTCTTGCTGAATGGTCTCCGAACCCCTGCCTCAGTGGTTGGACTAGTAGTGCCACCCTGAGATGTGTGCTTCTTGCTTAGGACCACCCCTTATCTAGCCTAGGGGGTGTGACAACTTATACATATGTTCTATGTTGAAGTTATAGGCTAGACTAGGTGTGTGCTTCTAGTGAGTACAACCCAATAGGTATATGTTCTAGGTTTCTCCTTCTAGTAATCATTTACGTATTCTAACACCGAGTCCTACGATGCAGGGCTGAGCAAACCTCTGAGACTTGATAGGAGGTAGTAGGGAGTTCACTTTGATCCGATTGGAGCACGATGACTATTGGCGAGTGAAGTTCGGTTCAGAAGGGAGGCAAAACCGTGTGCGGCACTCTTTGGTCGCGACACTTGGTTTTCACTTTTGCCAATCAGGTCGAGTTTTTTGTTGGAATGACATAACCATACGCATTCCAGAAGCTATGTTTGGATTAACTAGTTATCGCACTATACTCAATACAGTACACGAGAACTGGCGTGAAGGGCAACGGTCGTTGAGTGTTGACTCAAGGACGCCCAACGGTCAAGTTAAAGTCCAAGACCAGTCAGATGGATCAACAGCATGGGCAGTTACCCGAGTCGTGTATGGTTACCAAGTCGTGAAGTAACCCTAAACATGAAATGTATCCCTTGTAAGTGCATAACTTTAATATACTCTTCACCTTCTTTATACCATTACATAAACCCAGTATCTCATGCTATTATTTTCTTACTATTTTACATTACGCAGGTAAGACTTCCGTTGTCTTTACTCAAGGACTTACAATCCTGAAAGATCCTACGCGCCTATAATCGCAACTTGGTATAAAAGCCATTTTGGTATTATAAGTTCACCTGACCGTTCTCTCTGCAGGCATTTCCTATCAGTGACTAGCAATGACGAAAGCTACACCAGTCAATGCAAGCGGACGGAGAAGGCAGAGACCCAACTCTGCCTCAATCCACAATTCCGCCTCTAATGGTCACGAGCAATGACCCTGCTACCGTTACCCAACTCATCGCCAGAGTCAGGGCACTAGAGAGTGAATTCAGTCGATGACATCAACAGATCGAGTTATGCCCACAACGCAGCTCACGCACCTCCTGCATACAACGGACGAGTAGAATCAACGAAATTGTTTATTCTTCAACGTTCGAAATGGCAATCAACCTCCTCGTCATCATCCAGCTCACCTGGAAGTCCTTCACTCCATGCAAGAAAATTTTATGACGATCAGCAAACTTTGTACGTCAAGCATCTTCGACTACACGTGGAGCTTCGGATTCGAAGTACTCATTCAGTCTGCACAAATATGGATGTTTTACGACTGAACCTATGCCTTCCCATTCAACAACTCACCTGAGGAGAAATCGCACTACTACAATGAGTCACTTATAGCATACTCACTGTTGGTAAAAAACTTGTCCCCCGTTGAATAGCTCGGCATTCGCTCCTACAAAGATACGCGCGCCCCGCTCAACTCGCTTGGGATCACCTGCGCAAGATACATCAAGGAAAGGGCTCCGTCACACTAAGGCGCCTTCTCAACGAACTCATCACAATACGAATGATGCTCGGCGAGAAGGCCGGTCCATACATCAATCGATGCAGGAATGCTCGCGATGAATTCAAGAATTGCGGTGGAAACTTCTTTGATGAAATATTTGTCACTGTCGTGCTCTCCGGACTTGAGCCTGACTGGCACCACTACATAATAGTTCTTAGAGTGCAAGGTGTAGTATCGGAGCAGCCCTATGCGAGAAACTCCTCACCAAGCAGCAAACCCTAGATGCATATACGGAAAGAGGAGGATGGAAGGGAAAGGTGGTGTTCTACTTTCCTGGTGTGTAACATACGGTTTGTTTAGTTGGCAATCTCACCTACCAGGTTCTCAGCATGACTCGCGTTGACGCTGAACCTGATTGGCTGTAGTCTGAACGATAGCGAACATCCAATTTGTAATTCGACAATTGCGAGATTCAGAGCTGGGACGTCGCGCAGGCAACTAATCTAGTGCATGAGCGAGATTTTGTAACCAAGTGTCATTGTTTACTATGGGATTTCCCCTTCAAGGTCCCGGTGTGTCCCCTTCCTGCTTACAGGCTCAAACCGCTTGCAAAACCCGTGAAACTAAATAGAAGAACAGGTGTACTATGAATGTCTCTCCACATTCCAAACCAGCTCCGTCCAGCCACCAGCGTCCTCATTCCCGCATCAAGAAGCCAAGGTTGTCAGCAGTGAAGGTTTTTTGGCAACTCTTTCTGACGAGCGCCGCCAAGCCCCGCCATTGCGACACCCTTCGCCATCCAGTACTACAGTGTCACTCGCTCGCGACAGGTGCTCGCAGTGGGTTGTGCTAGCTCAGCCGCAGTGTTGCGACACCGCACGACAGATGGGTAAACTTCAGGATATCCTCGCTGAGAGGAGTGGCGTTTTGAAACCCTCGATCTGCTCGAGGTGCACACAGCAGCCTACTAGAAGTTCAAACTCGATGCCTGGCTGCATTCGAGATGTGAATCGCAGTTTCGCTGCACGCATCTATCGTGATCGCGCTGCTCCGCAGTCACTTTTTTCGCTCGGCCTCGGTAGTTCGGGTTTTTGGCGCAGACGGCGAGAACGCCGAGTCTAAAAAGCGGGGCCCGTGTGCGACGGGTCACGGATGCCATGAGAGGCCATTCTCGGTGGATAACGGCGGCGGTGGCGGCGTGGATTGCGTGCGCGGGCGCGTTGGCGGGGCTGGTGGCGTGGAGGGTGCAGAAGGGCTTCGACGACAATCGCAAGGCGGAGCTCGACGCGTGGTGCGCCGGTCGCGCGCACTCGCTGCAGCAGCAGTTCATGCAGACCGCCGACCACGTGCAGGTAGCGACCAGTGCAGGTAGCGAGCACGTACAGGTAGCGAGCACGTGCAGGTAGCGACTACGTGCAGGTATAGGCTAGGGATCGGCGTTTCGCATTGAGAATCGCAGTCATGATGACGACCACGCGCAGTTTCGGGGGTTCGATCCCGCGTCAGAAGCGCCGACGACTCGGTTTCGCCGCGAGACCAATCCAAAGTCGCTTTGCCCCAGATGTACCCCGAGAGAGTCCGTGAGCATCCAGAATCCCGCGCTCCGCCCGTCACACAGCAGCCCTGCACAGCGGCGGCGCCAGCCGCTCGCCACGTCTGCAGCATTCGCTCGCAGAGTCCGCGAGCTCCCCGCAGTTGAAACAGAGGCTGTGGCGGTGTGCATGTGTTGCATGGCGCGGATGGAGAGTGAAAGCGAAAGTAGGCACCTGCTTGGATGATACACGGTGTCGCACGGATCTGCAGCATATCCTGAGGCGCTGTAGCACGCGCATTCACAGCACGCGGACTCACAGCACGCGCACTCACAGCACGCATCGTACGGTATCGTATTTTTCGGCCGTCTAAAACGGTTAAAAACGGTCCAGAGCAACTTTTTTTTTGCTGGTGCAAAAAACGGCCGCATTCCCCAATCCCCCCCCCACCCCCCCCCCCCCCCCCCCCCCCCCCCCGCCAAAAAAAAAAAAAAAAAAAAAAAAAAAAAAAAAAACTGCAAAACACCCGAAATTGCCATTTCGCCTGCAGAAACGCGCGGTTGTGGCATTTTGACCCCCAAAATGTGCGGGAACTTGCGTTTTGGCGAACGAAATGCTACGATATCTGGCATTTCGCCCGCCGAAATCCGAGGATTTGGCATTTCGCCCGCGGAGATGCTGGGATCTCGCATGTCGGGGTGCAAAATGCGCGGACCTGGCAAACGTTTAGGCTTTCTTTACAAAAAAAAAAAAAAAAAAAAAAAAACCTATTTAAAAAACGGCGTTTTGTTTCCCAAGTGACTGAAGAAAACGGACAGTATAAAACGGACCGTATTTTTCGGAAACCGTATTTTTGAACCTTGTGCACAGCACATGCAACACATGCACAGCACATGCTGCGCATGCACAGTACATGCACAGCACATGCAACACCTGCACAGCACATGCACAGCACATGCAACATATGCACGGCATATGCACACCACATGCAACACACTCATCTGCTTCACCCATTTGTCACACCCATCTTCCCCCCGCCCATCGTCCCCCCACCCATCTTCCCCCCACCCATCTTCCCCCCACCCATCTTCCCCCCACCCATCTTCCCCTCGCCCATCTTCCCCCCACCCATCTTCCCCCCACCCATCTTCTCCCCACCCATCTTCCCCCGCCCAACTTCCCCCCACCCATCTTCCCCCCGCCCATCTTCCCCCCACCCATCTTCCCCCCACCCATCTTCCCCCCGCCCTTCTTCTCCCCACCCATCTCCCCCCCACCCATCTTCCCCCACCCATCTTCCCCCCACCCATCTTCCCCCCCACCCATCTTCCCCCAACCCATCTTCCCCCCACCCATCTTCCCCCAACCCATCTTCCCCCCACCCATCTTCCCCCCACCCATCTTCCCCCCACCCATCTTCCCCCCGCCCATCGTCCCCCCACCCATCTTCCCCCCGCCCATCTTCCCCCCACCCATCTTCCCCCCCGCCCATCTTCTCCCCACCCATCTTCCCCCCCACCCATCTTCCCCCCACCCATCTTCCCCCCACCCATCTTCCCCCAACCCATCTTCCCCCCACCCATCTTCCCCCCGCCCATCTTCCCCCCACCCATCTTCTCCCAACCCATCTTCCCCCCACCCATCTTCTCCCCACCCATCTTCCCCCCGCCCATCTTCCCCCCACCCATCCTCCCCCCACCCATCTTCTCCCCGCCCATCTTCCCCCCAACCATCTTCCCCCCACCCATCTTCCCCCCACCCATCTTCCCCCCACCCTTCTTCCCCCCACCCATCTTCCCCCCACCCATCTTTCCCCCACCCATCTTCCCCCCGTCCATCTTTCCCCCACCCATCTTCCCCCCACCCATGTTCCCCCCACCCATCTTCCCCCCGCCCATCTTCCCACCACCCATCTTCCCCCAACCCATCTTCCCCCACCCATCTTCCCCCCACCCATCTTCCCCCCGCCCATCTTCCCCCCCCATCTTCCCCCACCCATCTTCCCCCCCGCCCATCTTCTCCCCTCCCATCTTCCCCCCACCCATCTTCCCCCCACCCATCTTCCCCCAACCCATCTTCCCCCCACCCATCTTCCCCCAACCCATCTTCCCCCCACCCATCTTCCCCCCACCCATCTTCCCCCCACCCATCTTCCCCCGCCCATCTTCCCCCCACCCATCTTCCCCCCACCCATCTTCCCCCCGCCCATCTTCTCCCCTCCCATCTTCCCCCCACCCATCTTCCCCCACCCATCTTCCCCCACCCATCTTCCCCCACCCATCTTCCCCCCACCCATCTTCCCCCCACCCATCTTCCCCCAACCCATCTTCCCCCAACCCATCTTCCCCCCGCCCATCTTCCCCCCACCCATCTTCTCCCAACCCATCTTCCCCCCACCCATCTTCCCCCCACCCATCTTCCCCCCGCCCATCTTCCCCCCACCCATCTTCCCCCCGCCCATCTTCCCCCGCCCATCTTCCCCCCACCCATCTTCCCCCCCGCCCATCTTCTCCCCTCCGATCTTCCCCCCACCCATCTTCCCCCACCCATCTTCCCCCCACCCATCTTCCCCCAACCCATCTTCCCCCCACCCATCTTCCCCCCGCCCATCTTCCCCCCACCCATCTTCTCCCAACCCATCTTCCCCCCGCCCATCTTCCCCCCACCCTTCTTCTCCCCACCCATCTTCCCCCCGCCCATCTTCCCCCCACCCATCTTCTCCCCACCCATCTTCCCCCGCCCATCTTCCCCCCGCCCATCTTCCCCCCACCCATCTTCCCCCACCCATCTTCCCCCGTCCATCTTTCCCCCACCCATCTTCCCCCCACCCATCTTCTCCCCACCCATCTTCCCCCCACCCATCTTCCCCCAACCCATCTTCCCCCCACCCATCTTCCCCCCACCCATCTTCCCCCCACCCATCTTCCCCCCGCCCATCTTCCCCCCACCCATCTTCCCCCCACCCATCTTCCCCCCCGCCCATCTTCTCCCCTCCCATCTTCCCCCCACCCATCTTCCCCACCCATCTTCCCCCACCCATCTTCCCCCACCCATCTTCCCCCACCCATCTTCCCCCAACCCATCTTCCCCCCACCCATCTTCCCCCACCCATCTTCCCCCCACCCATCTTCCCCCCGCCCATCTTCCCCCCACCCATCTTTCCCCCACCCATCTTCCCCCCCGCCCATCTTCTCCCCTCCCATCTTCCCCCCACCCGTCTTCCCCCACCCATCTTCCCCCCACCCATCTTCCCCCAACCCATCTTCCCCCACCCATCTTCCCCCCACCCATCTTCCCCCAACCCATCTTCCTCCACCCATCTTCCCCCCACCCATCTTCCCCCCACCCATCTTCTCCCAACCCATCTTCCCCCCGCCCATCTTCCCCCCACCCTTCTTCTCCCCACCCATCTCCCCCCGCCCATCTTCCCCCGACCCATCTTCTCCCCACCCATCTTCCCCCCGCCCATCTTCCCCCACCCATCTTCCCCCCACCCATCTTCTCCCGCCCATCTTCCCCCAACCATCTTCCCCCCACCCATCTTCCCCCACCCATCTTCCCCCCACCCATCTTCCCCCCACCCATCTTCCCCCCACCCATCTTCCCCCACCCATCTTCCCCCACCCATCTTCCCCCCCGCCCATCTTCTCCCCTCCGATCTTCCCCCCACCCATTGTCCCCCCTCCCATCTTCCCCCCACCCATCTTCCCCCACCCATCTTCCCCCCACCCATCTTCCCCCTCGCCCATCTTCCCCCCACCCATCTTCCCCCCCACCCATCTTCTCCCCACCCATCTTCCCCCCGCCCAACTTCCCCCCACCCATCTTCCCCCCGCCCATCTTCCCCCCACCCATCTTCCCCCCACCCATCTTCCCCCCCGCCCTTCTTCTCCCCACCCATCTTCCCCCCACCCATCTTCCCCCCACCCATCTTCCCCCCACCCATCTTCCCCCCCCACCCATCTTCCCCCAACCCATCTTCCCCCCACCATCTTCCCCCCACCCATCTTCCCCAACCCATCTTCCCCCACCCATCTTCCCCCACCCATCTTCCCCCACCCATCTTCCCCCCGCCATCGTCCCCCCACCCATCTTCCCCCTGTCCATCTTCCCCCTGTCCATCTTCCCCCCACCCATCTTTCCCCCGCCCATCTTCCCCCCGCCCATCGTCCCCCACCCATCTTCCCCCTGTCCATCTTCCCCCCACCCATCTTTCCCCCCGCCCATCTTCTCCCCACCCATCTTCCCCCCACCCATCTTCCCCCACCCATCTTCCCCCCACCCATCTTCCCCCCGCCCATCTTCCCCCCACCCATCTTCCCCCCGCCCATCTTCCCCCCCGCCCATCTTCTCCCCTCCCATCTTCCCCCCACCCATCTCCCCCCACCCATCTTCCCCCAACCCATCTTCCCCCCACCCATCTTCCCCAACCCATCTTCCCCCCACCCATCTTCCCCCCACCCATCTTCCCCCCACCCATCTTCCCCCCGCCCATCTTCCCCCCACCCATCTTCCCCCCACCCATCTTCCCCCCGCCCATCTTCTCCCTCCCATCTTCCCCCACCCATCTTCCCCCCACCCATCTTCCCCCCACCCATCTTCCCCCAACCCATCTTCCCCCACCCATCTTCCCCCCACCCATCTTCCCCCACCCATCTTCCCCCCACCCATCTTCCCCCAACCCATCTTCCCCCCGCCCATCTTCCCCCCACCCATCTTCTCCCAACCCATCTTCCCCCACCCATCTTCCCCCCACCCATCTTCCCCCCGCCCATCTTCCCCCCACCCATCTTCCCCCGCCCATCTTCCCCCCGCCCATCTTCCCCCCACCCATCTTCCCCCCCGCCATCTTCTCCCTCCGATCTTCCCCCACCCATCTTCCCCCCACCCATCTTCCCCCCACCCATCTTCCCCCAACCCATCTTCCCCCACCCATCTTCCCCCCGCCCATCTTCCCCCCACCCATCTTCTCCCAACCCATCTTCCCCCCGCCCATCTTCCCCCACCCTTCTTCTCCCACCCATCTTCCCCCCGCCCATCTTCCCCCCACCCATCTTCTCCCCACCCATCTTCCCCCCGCCCATCTTCCCCCGCCCATCTTCCCCCCACCCATCTTCCCCACCCATCTTCCCCCCGTCCATCTTTCCCCACCCATCTTCCCCCCACCCATCTTCTCCCCACCCATCTTCCCCCCACCCATCTTCCCCCAACCCATCTTCCCCCCACCCATCTTCCCCCACCCATCTTCCCCCCACCCATCTTCCCCCCGCCATCTTCCCCCCACCATCTTCCCCCCACCCATCTTCCCCCCCGCCCATCTTCTCCCCTCCCATCTTCCCCCCACCCATCTTCCCCCCACCCATCTTCCCCCCACCCATCTTCCCCAACCCATCTTCCCCCCACCCATCTTCCTCCAACCCATCTTCCCCCCACCCATCTTCCCCCCACCCATCTTCCCCCCACCCATCTTCCCCCCGCCCATCTTCCCCCCACCCATCTTTCCCCCACCCATCTTCCCCCCGCCCATCTTCTCCCCTCCCATCTTCCCCCACCCGTCTTCCCCCACCCATCTTCCCCCACCCATCTTCCCCCAACCCATCTTCCCCCCACCCATCTTCCCCTCACCCATCTTCCCCCAACCCATCTTCCTCCCACCCATCTTCCCCCCACCCATCTTCCCCCACCCATCTTCTCCCAACCCATCTTCCCCCCGCCCATCTTCCCCCACCCTTCTTCTCCCCACCCATCTTCCCCCCGCCCATCTTCCCCGACCCATCTTCTCCCCACCCATCTTCCCCCCGCCCATCTTCCCCCCACCCATCTTCCCCCCACCCATCTTCTCCCCGCCCATCTTCCCCCCAACCATCTTCCCCCACCCATCTTCTCCCCACCGATCTTCCCCCCACCCATCTTCCCCCACCCATCTTCCCCCACCCATCTTCCCCCCACCCATCTTCCCCCACCCATCTTCCCCCTACCATCTTCCCCCAACCATCTTCCCCCACCCATCTTCCCCACCCATCTTCCCCCCGTCCATCTTTCCCCCACCCATCTTCCCCCCCCACCCATCTTCTCCCCACCCATCTTCCCCCCACCCATCTTCCCCCAACCCATCTTCCCCCCCATCTTCCCACCCATCTTCCCCCCACCCATCTTCCCCCCCCCCCCCCCCGCCCATCTTCCCCCACCCATCTTCCCCCCACCCATCTTCCCCCCGCCCATCTTCTCCCCTCCCATCTTCCCCCCACCCATCTTCCCCCCACCCATCTTCCCCCCACCCATCTTCCCCCAACCCATCTTCCCCCCACCCATCTTCCTCCAACCCATCTTCCCCCACCCATCTTCCCCCCACCCATCTTCCCCCCACCCATCTTCCCCCCGCCCATCTTCCCCCCACCCATCTTTCCCCCACCCATCTTCCCCCCGCCCATCTTCTCCCCTCCCATCTTCCCCCCACCCGTCTTCCCCACCCATCTTCCCCCACCCATCTTCCCCCAACCCATCTTCCCCCACCCATCTTCCCCTCACCCATCTTCCCCCAACCCATCTTCCTCCCACCCATCTTCCCCCCACCCATCTTCCCCCCACCCATCTTCTCCCAACCCATCTTCCCCCCCGCCCATCTTCCCCCCACCCTTCTTCTCCCCACCCATCTTCCCCCGGCCATCTTCCCCCGACCCATCTTCTCCCCACCCATCTTCCCCCGCCCATCTTCCCCCACCCATCTTCCCCCCACCCATCTTCTCCCCGCCCATCTTCCCCCAACCATCTTCCCCCCACCCATCTTCTCCCCACCGATCTTCCCCCACCCATCTTCCCCCCACCCATCTTCCCCCACCCATCTTCCCCCCACCCATCTTCCCCAACCCATCTTCCCCCACCCATCTCCCCCCGCCCATCTTCCCCCCCACCCATCTTCTCCCAACCCATCTTCCCCCCGCCCATCTTCCCCCACCCTTCTTCTCCCCACCCATCTTCCCCCCGCCCATCTTCCCCCACCCATCTTCTCCCACCCATCTTCCCCCGCCCATCTTCCCCCCGCCCATCTTCCCCCCCACCATCTTCCCCCCACCCATCTTCCCCCCGTCCATCTTTCCCCCACCCATCTTCCCCCCCACCCATCTTCTCCCCCCTCCCCCCCCCTCTTCCCCACCCATCTTCCCCCCACCCATCTTCCCCCAACCCATCTCCCCCATCTTCCCCCCCCCCCATCTTCCCCCCACCCATCTTCCCCCCGCCCATCTTCCCCCACCCATCTTCCCCCCACCCATCTTCCCCCCGCCCATCTTCTCCCCTCCCATCTTCCCCCCACCCATCTTCCCCCACCCATCTTCCCCCCACCCATCTTCCCCCAACCCATCTCCCCCACCCATCTTCCCTCCAACCCATCTTCCCCCCACCCATCTTCCCCCCACCCATCTTCCCCCCACCCATCTTCCCCCCCCATCTTCCCCCCACCCATCTTTCCCCCACCCATCTTCCCCCCCGCCCATCTTCTCCCCTCCCATCTTCCCCCCACCCGTCTTCCCCCCCACCCATCTTCCCCCCCACCCATCTTCCCCCAACCCCATCTTCCCCCCACCCATCTTCCCCTCACCCATCTTCCCCCAACCCATCTTCCTCCCACCCATCTTCCCCCCACCCATCTTCCCCCCACCCATCTTCTCCCAACCCATCTTCCCCCCCCCGCCCCATCTTCCCCCCACCCTTCTTCTCCCCACCCATCTTCCCCCCGCCCATCTTCCCCCGACCATCTTCTCCCCACCCATCTTCCCCCGCCCATCTTCCCCCCACCCATCTTCCCCCCACCCATCTTCTCCCCGCCCATCTTCCCCCCAACCATCTTCCCCCACCCATCTTCTCCCCACCGATCTTCCCCCCACCCATCTTCCCCCCACCCATCTTCCCCCCACCCATCTTCCCCCCACCCATCTTCCCCCACCCATCTTCCCCCTACCATCTTCCCCCAACCATCTTCCCCCACCCATCTTCCCCCACCCATCTCCCCCCGTCCATCTTTCCCCCACCCATCTTCCCCCCCACCCCATCTTCTCCCCACCCATCTTCCCCCACCCATCTTCCCCCAACCCATCTTCCCCCCACCCATCTTCCCCCCACCCATCTTCCCCCCACCCATCTTCCCCCGCCCATCTTCCCCCCACCCATCTTCCCCCCACCCATCTTCCCCCCCCGCCCATCTTCTCCCCTCCCATCTTCCCCCACCCATCTTCCCCCACCCATCTTCCCCCCACCCATCTTCCCCCAACCCATCTTCCCCCCACCCATCTTCCTCCAACCCATCTTCCCCCCACCCATCTTCCCCCCACCCATCTTCCCCCCACCCATCTTCCCCCCGCCCATCTTCCCCCCACCCATCTTTCCCCCACCCATCTTCCCCCCGCCCATCTTCTCCCCTCCCATCTTCCCCCCACCCGTCTTCCCCCCACCCATCTTCCCCCCACCCATCTTCCCCCAACCCATCTTCCCCCCACCCATCTTCCCCTCACCCATCTTCCCCCAACCCATCTTCCTCCCACCCATCTTCCCCCCACCCATCTTCCCCCCACCCATCTTCTCCCAACCCATCTTCCCCCCGCCCATCTTCCCCCCACCCTTCTTCTCCCCACCCATCTTCCCCCGCCCATCTTCCCCCGACCCATCTTCTCCCCACCCATCTTCCCCCCGCCCATCTTCCCCCCACCCATCTTCCCCCCACCCATCTTCTCCCCGCCCATCTTCCCCCCAACCATCTTCCCCCACCCATCTTCTCCCCACCGATCTTCCCCCCACCCATCTTCCCCCCACCCATCTTCCCCCCACCCATCTTCCCCCCACCCATCTTCCCCCCACCCATCTTCCCCCTACCATCTTCCCCCAACCATCTTCCCCCCACCCATCTTCCCCCCACCCATCTTCCCCCCACCCATCTTCCCCCCACCCCACCCATCTCTTCCCACCATCCCGATGTGCGCGAGCGTGCGTCAGGCGCTGGCAGGGCTGACGATCGTGTTCGGGCGGGTGCGCGAGGACCCGTGGGGCGTGGCGGGCATGAGCCAGCAGCTGTACGTCAAGTACGCGCATGCCACCGTGGCCGCGCGCCCCTGGGTGCACGCCATGGGCTACTTCGTCCTCGTCAACGAGACCGACAGGTGCGCGCCCCGCCCAACGCACACTCTCGCCTGCATTTCATGCTCTCTCTGCCTTCCCGCACTCTCCCAAATCTCCCTCTCACGCACGCGCGCACCACCCCCACCTCCCTCCCTCACTCCCTAACGCTCCCCCTCCCTCCCTCCCTCCCTCCCTCCCCCTTCCCCTCCCTTCCCATACCTCTTCTCCCCCTCCCTCACCTCCTCTCCTTCCCCCCTTCCCTGCCGCCTATTCGGTCCGGACCTCCCTTTATCTCTCCTTTATCTCCCGTGCCTCGGGAGATCCTCTTCTGTTGTCTTTTGGGCTTCAGAGGTGGCCTTCTGGAATCCTTGCCCTTGCTCTGTTCACTGTCGCTGCTGTGAAGTAGGACCACTGCTTTCCATTGCTAACCTCAACGAGGCGGACTTCTCAGCTGATTGCACTGGTCAAGCTGTCAAGTGCCTTCGTGTTCGCAGCAAACCACCACTTACCGTCCACCTTTATCCCTCCGTGCCAGGCTAGCGTATGAGCGGCAGCTGCACTGCCACATGGCGGACATGACGCAGCGGCCGCGCCCCCTGGCGGAGTGGTACATGCCGATGCGGTACTGGTACAACGAGATCTCCCTCGCCACGCTGCTCTCCAGCACCGCCTGCCGTGACACGCGCACGAACCCGTCGTTCGGGCCGCAGCTGGGCGACATGGTGGAGAAGGCGGACCAGTGGCTCACCCTGCCCTACGTGCTCGACAACGGCAACGCCGGCATCGGTGCGTGGGTGTGAGAAAAGGTGAACTTAGAAAAGTTGATTAGAGGGAAGCACAAGGGTTTACATAGGAATGTGAAAAGCGAGGAAGGGAGGGTTGGTTGGGGAGTTGGCCAAGATTATTGGCCCCCACCAATAAATCTGGTTGGGATTATTGGTGGTCCAATAATTTTGGTGGGAATTTATTGGGGGTCCCAAATAGTTGTGGACCCAACCTAATTGGGAACCCAACCTACAATTAGGGTTATTACACCCTAATTGCAGTGGAGTGCTTAACTCTACTCAAGACTAACAAATCTATGTAGACTAGTAAATATAGTAGGATATTCTAACACGTGGCGCTGGCATGGGGGCGTGGCGCTGCCGTGGGTGCGTGGCACTGGCATGGGTGCGTGGCACTGGCATGGGTGCGTGGCGCTGGCATGGGTGCGTGGCACTGGCATGGGTGCGTGGCACTGGCATGGGTGCGTGGCGCTGGCATGGGTGCGTGGCGCTGGCATGGGTGCGTGGCGCTGGCATGGGTGTGTGGCGCTGGCATGGGTGCGTGGCACTGGCATGGGTGCGTGGCACTGGCATGGGTGCGTGGCACTGGCATGGGTGCGTGGCGCTGGCATGGGTGCGTGGCGCTGGCATGGGTGCGTGGCGCTGGCATGGGTGCGTGGCGCTGGCATGGGTGCATGGCACTGGCATGGGTGCATGGCACTGGCATGGGTGCATGGCGCTGGCATGGGTGGGTGCGACAATGGGGACACCCGCATGGGTGGGAGAGGACATCTGCTGGGGTGATTAGGGTCACTGGCATAGATATAGAATTCAGTTTTAGCGTTGGGCAACCGGGTCACGGGCATGGTTGGGGGCCATGGGGGCATCGGCATGGTTGGGGGGCAGTGGGGGCATTGGCATAGCTGGGTGGAGGACGGTGTGGTGGGAGTGGGAGGACTGCTGAGAATGGGCATGTGGGTGGTGGGAGGAGGCTACTGGCTTAGGAATGCGCTTTGTGAGATGGAAGCTCCGTTCTAAGACTAGGGCTTTGGGCTTGTCACAGAGGAGGAGATCTGTGTTTCCCGTGTCTTCGCGCGCTCGCCGCGCAAGCAGGCATGACGTTCCCCATCTTCAGCACCGGTGTCTCCACGGCGTCGCCCCTGGCGGAGCGGCGGCGCGCGTTCATCGGAGCCATGGCGGCGTCGGTGGACTTCAAGCGCCTCGCCAGCTCCATCATTTTCGACGTGCTGCAGGGTGAGAGGCGTGCTGCAGGGTGAGAGGCGTGCTGCAGGGTGAGAGGCGTGCTGCAGGGTGAGAGGCGTTGCAGGGTGAGAGGCGTTGCAGGGTGAGAGGCGTGCTGCAGGGTGAGAGGCGTGCTGCAGGGTGAGAGGCGTGCTGCAGGGTGAGAGGCGTGCTGCAGGGTGAGAGGCGTGCTGCAGGGTGAGAGGCGTGCTGCAGGGTGAGAGGCGTGCTGCAGGGTGAGAGGCGTGCTGCAGGGTGAGAGGCGTGCTGCAGGGTGAGAGGCGTGCTGCAGGGTGAGAGGCGTGCTGCAGGGTGAGAGGCGTGCTGCAGGGTGAGAGGCGTGCTGCAGGGTGAGAGGCGTGCTGCAGGGTGAGAGGCATTGCAGGGTGAGAGGCGTTGCAGGGTGAGAGGCGTTGCAGGGTGAGAGGCGTTGCAGGGTGAGAGGCGTTGCAGGGTGAGAGGCGTTGCTGGGTGAGAGGCGTTGCAGGGTGAGAGGCGTTGCCGGGTGAGAGGCGTTGCAGGGTGAGAGGCGTTGCCGGGTGAGAGGCGTTGCAGGGTGAGAGGCGTTGCCGGGTGAGAGGCGTTGCAGGGTGAGAGGCGTTGCCGGGTGAGAGGTTACAGGGTGAGCGCGCCGCACAATTTACAAGGGCACATGCGATCACCAGCTCCATGGGCTGCGAGCAGGATGCTGCTTCCGCTCATCATGGTCCCATGCGCCCGCCATGGTATAACAGCCATTGGTGAACGCACCACTGTCGTCTACCTGGTGAACAAGGATGGTGAGAAGAAATTGCACCCGTGGCAGGCTTCACAATTGTCAATCAGGCCTGGGCACTGCCAAGGACCTTCATCTTGTTCATTCGTACTCAAAGGGCTTCCCCATGTATCCTGGCCTCCCCTTTCTGCTTCCCTGCATCTCTCAGACGTGAATTACACACTCGAGATCTACGACGTCACTGACACCGCCGTCACGCATGTTGATGCAAGCCCCTCATCCACGCCGTCCGGGCCGCGCCTGCTGTACGGGGTGGGCGACCTGCCTCAGGGCGACCCTGAGGAGGTGTCAAAGGTCATTCTGCCGTCCAACGAGAGCATGCTACAGCCGTGGCGCTACAAGGTGGTGCACCAGATCAACCTCACCGACCCTTCCAGGAGCTTCCAAGCCTGGTGCCGGTGAGCCTCCCCTCTCCATTCCCATCGTCTCCTGCCCCCCTCTCCCTCCCTCTCCCTTCCTCCTCTCCGCTCGTTCCTTTGCCATCTATCCAGCTCCCCAAGCGTTGCCTCGCTCTGTCGAAATCTTTTGGTACTGCTGGGTTGCATGTCGCCATTCTACTGTGCGAGTCCCATTCCATCTTTCTCCTATATGCTTTGTCTTACATGAATAGGCCTGCCGTCCATCCGCTCCCTCGCAAGGGGTGTCGCTGGCAATAGCACGGCAGCACGGCAACAAGTGTGGTGCAAACGCTGCAGATCCCTCCGTAAGCGGATGCATATTTCTCCTCCACCCCTGTCTCTCCTGTTTCCCCCCTCTCCGTCCCCCTTGTCCGCCTCCCCTGCCCTGTCCTCCACCCCTCGTGGCATGTCTCTTCACGTTGCTCCCATCGCCTGCCTAGCTTTGAGGGGTCGGACAGAGCATACAGCTGGATGGCGGTCTTCCTAGGCGTCATCATCATGGTGGTGGCTGTGCTGCTGGCGGCCATCGCGGTGAGCGTGACGCGCAACACGCGGAGGGCGCGGGAGAAGACGGCGGTGCTGGAGAGAATGAAGGAGCAGACGCAGAAGAAGGAGCGCAACAAGAGCGCCTTCATCGCCAACACCTCGCACGAGCTGCGCACCCCAATCATCGGGCTAAAAGGTATGCACAAATGTGGGTGCTGCTTATGGGTAGAATATACCTTGACGACTTGGCCGGGCTTTTTTGTGGTCACTCATGTCTGGTTTGGAGTCGGGTTTAAGAGCAATTTCTTGTGTTGGTGGCCAGTTACGGCTTACATTTGGGTCGTCACGGACATGGTGATAACGGAAGCCCGGGAGTCCTCACTGGTTCATAGACTCTCGTGAGTGCTGCTTGCAACAGGCATGCTCGAGCAGCTGGCGGAGGGGCCGATGGAGGGCGAGATGCAGGAGGACGTGCGCGTGGCGGTGGAGGAGGCGGAGCGCGTGCTGGCGCTGATCGGCACGGTGCTGGACATCTCCAAGGCGGAGGCCGGGCTCCTGCAGCTGGAGCAGCTGGAGTTCGACGCCCGGGCGTGGCTGGCAGAGGGCCTGGCGAAGCACGAGACGCTGGCTGCTGCGGGCGGGCTGCAATGTGAGCATGTGCACAGATGCACACACACATGCACACACATGCACACACGTGCACACACATGCACACACACATGCACACACATGCACACACATGCACACACATGCACACACATGCACACACCTGCACACACACAGATGCATGCACACGCAAACAGTGCACGCACGCACACAAGCACACACACACATGCATGCACACATCACACATGCGCATGCACACACACACACACACACACACACACACACACACACACACACACACACGCACACACGCACGCACGCACGCACACGCATGCACACATCACACGCGCGCATGCACACATCACACTCTTTCATGCACACAGACAGCATATGCACGCACGTGCGTGCCGGCATGCACGCACGCACTCACACACATGAACACATGCATACTAAGAGACACAAGCACTAAAGCTCCACTTCTTCATCTCGATCCCAATTGCCTCTCGTCTGCCCATGCCCAGTCACATGCCACGTGGATGCTAGTGTGCCGGAGGTGCTGGTGGGGGACTACCTGCGCCTGCGGAAAGTGGTGGACAGCATCGTTGGTGAGCCAGCTACCGCCAAGTTTGCAGTTTCTATCGAGTGTTGATCTTCTCACATGGCATCGCTGCTGCTGCTCGGTGTGTAAGTCCATATTGCAACAAAGAAAACCATATTGTTTCCTGCAGCTCAGTCTTCATGCCCTTTACTCTTCGCCCAGACAGAGTGCACGCCGTGCAGCCCTGTGTCTTTCTTCGAATCCATGTGCATCGCAGCCAACACCATCAAGTTCACATGTGCCCCTCTCACACATTCCACTCCCCTTGTGCCTCCCCTTGTGCCTCCCCCTGTGACTCCCCCTGTGACTCCCCCTGTGCCTCCCCCTGTGCCTCCCCCTGTGCCTCCCCTTGTGCCTCCCCCTGTGCCTCCCCCTGTGATTCCCCCTGTGCCTCCCCCTGTGCCTCCCCCTGTGCCTCCCCCTGTGCCTCCCCCTGTGCCTCCCCCTGTGCCTCCCCCTGTGCCTCCCCCTGTGCCTCCCCCTGTGCCTCCCCCTGTGCCTCCCCCTGTGCCTCCCCCTGTGCCTCCCCCTGTGATTCCCCCTGTGGCTCCCCCTGTGCCTCCCCCTGTGCCTCCGCCTGTGCCTCCCCCTGTGCCTCCCCCTGTGCCTCCCCCTGTGCCTCCGCCTGTGCCTCCCCCTGTGCCTCCCCTGTGCCTCCCCCTGTGCCTCCCCCTGTGCCTCCCCTTGTGCCTCCCCCTGTGCCTCCCCCTGTGCCTCCCCCTGTGCCTCCCCCTGTGCCTCCCCCTGTGCCTCCCCCTGTGCCTCCCCCTGTGCCTCCCCCTGTGCCTCCCCCTGTGCCTCCCCCTGTGCCTCCCCCTGTGCCTCCCCCTGTGCCTCCCCCTGTGTCCCCATGTCCTCCATCTCCCCTGTGCCCCTCCCAGACAACGCCGTCAAGTTCACGTCCAGTGGAGGGGTGTGTGTGCGGCTGCAGTGTCTTCCCCCCCACACCAACATCCCTGCTCACCTGCTCTCCCTCGGCTGCTCCGTCGTTGAAAGCACCCCCTGCTCCTCCCCCCCTGCTGCTGCTTCTACGATTACTGCCAGCAGCACCACAGCTGTGGTGGCGCCGTGCAGTGAGGAGGAGGGCATGCTTGTGGCGCCCTCTTTCTGGGATCACGTGGCGCGCCGAGGGCCGGTGAGTGCGGTGGTGACCCGGTGCTGCCGGCAGGTGGGCGTGCTCACTGCCCAAGGTCTCACGTGCTACTGGCGCATGCCCCCGGTGAAGGAGGACGCGGGCGGGGAGGCAGGTCAGGCGGAGCAGGGTTGTTCCATGGGAGAGGATGTGGGAAGAGCACATGGGGGGGATGAGGCAGGTGCAAACGTGATGGAGGCTGTGGAGGCTGGTGTGGCGCCAAGGAGGGGAGTAGTAGGGGGTGGCAGGGGGGGTGCGTGGATGGATGCAGTGGGGCGGTGGTGGGGCAGGGCCACCATGCCAGGGTGCCTGGTGCCTGGGGATGCTCGAGGGCGATTGGTGCTGCTGCTGACGTGTGAGGACATGGGGTGTGGGATAGCGGAGGAGGAGCAAGCTGATGTCTTCCACGCGTTCATGCAGGTGAGCGCTAATGCAGGTGAACGCTCGTGCAGGTGAGCGCTCGTGCAGGTGAGCGCTCGTGCAGGTGAGCTCTCGTGCAGGTGAGCCCTCGTGCAGGTGAGCGCTCGTGCAGGTGAGCCCTCGTGCAGTGAGCGCTCGTGCAGGTGAGCGCTCGTGCAGGTGAGTGCTCGTGCAGTTGAGCGCTGGTGCAGGTGAGCGCTCGTGCAGGTGAGCGCTCGTGCAGGTGAGCGCTCGTGCAGGTGAGTGCTCGTGCAGGTGAGCGCTCGTGCAGGTGAGCGTTCGTGCAGGTGAGCTCTCGTGCAGGTGAGCGTTCGTGCAGGTGAGCTTTCGTGCAGGTGAGCGTTCATGCAGGTGAGCGCTCATGCAGGTGAGCTCGAAGAATGTTCACGCATTGTGGTGTTTGGGCACTGGGGTGTTTGGGCACTGGGGTGTTTGGGCACTGGGGTGTTTGGGCATTGGGGTGTTTGGGCACTGGGGTGTTTGGGCATTGGGGTGTTTGGGCATTGGGGTGTTTGGGCATTGGGGTGTTTGGGCATTGGGATGTTTGGGCATTGGGGTGTTTGGGCACTGGGGTGTTTGGGCACTGGGGTGTTTGGGCGTTGGGGTGTTTGGGCACTGGGGTGTTTGGGCACTGGGGTGTTTGGGCACTTGGGTGTCTGGGCACTGGGGTGTTTGGGCACTGGGGTGTTTGGGCACTTGGGTGTTTGGGCACTCAGGTGTTTGGGCACTGGGATGTTTGGGCACTGCGGTGCTTGGGCACTTGGGTGTTTGGGTACTGGGGTGTTGGGACTTGAAAAAGTTTGTGTGTGTTTTGTTTGGCAACATGGTATGTGTCTGCCGTCGTTCTTTTCTTGTGAGAACTGTGTGCCAAAATCTCCATATTGTTGAAACTTGATCCTGTTTTCGTGGCAATCAGCAAACCTCATGCCACAGCTCATCGGTTCCTTCTTGTTCATCGTTTCCTACTTGTGTTGTTTCGATCCGCATCAGCCGCATCACAAGAGGCATGCGCATGGCGGTAGTGGCTTAAGTCTTCACATATCAAAACAACTGGTACGTGGTTCGCATGTTAATATCCTAAAGGAAGGAGGTTTGCGATTATGAAGGTGGACGAGGGGCTGCGAAGGCGGGCGAGGGGCTGCAAAGGCGGGCGAGGGGCTGCGAAGGCGGGCGAGGGGCTGCGAAGGCGGGCGATGGGCTGCGAAGGCGGGCGAGGGGCTGCGAAGGCGGGCGAGGGGCTGCGAAGGCGGGCGAGGGGCTGCGAAGGCGGGCGAGGGGCTGCGAAGGCGGGCGAGGGGCTGCGAAGGCGGACGAGGGCCGGTGAAGGCGGGCGAGGGGCCGGTGAAGGCGGGCGAGGGGCCGGTGAAGGCGGGCGAGGGGCCGTGAAGGCGGGCGAGGGGCCGTGAAGGCGGGCGAGGGGCCGTGAAGGCGGACAAGGGGCCGTGAAGGCTGACGAGAGGCTGTGAAGGTGGACGACGGATGAATGGGAGCAGAGTGGAATGGACATGCAAAGGAATGGAAACAATAGACATACTATGCTACTTTGTGATGCCTCACAGCCGTCTCCACGCCTGGACATCCATTTCAACTGTCCCTCAGAAGTGGCAGCATTAGTTTGCTTCCAGTAGCTTCTAACCTCTCTCCCCCGCCTCCCTTTACCCGGATGTCAACCTACCCCAGGTGGCTCTCATGGGCGGCAGCATCGGTCTGCTCAGCACGGAGGGCCGTGGCACCACGCTGCATGTCGCGCTGCCCATGGCCTCTGCTCCCTCTGCTGATGAATGTGCCACGCGCACAGGCGTTTGCAGTGGCGCTGCTGCTGCTGCCGCTAGTCCCTTCGCAGCCTGCTGTGCAAGGAGTCCCTTGAACAGTCACGAACAACTGGCAGCAGGGGAGAGCGGTGAAGGGGCGGGGTGCACAGGGATTGGGGGACAGGCGAGGGCAGCAGGTGTGGAGGCAGGCGGACGCACACAGCAGGCAGCGGCACGGGGAGTGGGAGAGGTGGAGAGGCGTGGTTTGGAGGTGAAGTGGGGTAGTGCCAAGGAGGCTCTGCAGGAGATGATGCGCGGCATGGCCATCCTGGTGAGGCGCACGGCAATGCATTGTCGTTTCTCCTCCGCTCCGTGCCCAGGTGGTGGCCGACAATGTGGTCAACCTCATATGTGTGTCCCCATCGACGTTTACCGTGTGTGCCAACCCTCCCTTTCACCTCCCTTCCAGGTGGTGGACGACAATGTGATAAACCGGCGGGTGGCAGCGAGCACGCTGGGGCGATACGGTGCTGACGTCACACTGGCAGAGTCAGGCGAGGCGGCTCTGCTGCTGCTGCGGCCTCCGCACTCCTTCCGCCTCGTGCTCATGGACCTCCACATGCCCCTCATGGACGGGTGTGTATGCGGCTGTCGAGCATGCATGCCTACCCCACGTGCATGTGGTTACGCCGCTCACAGGTTTGCATGCCCAGACCACATACAGATATCAGCACACAGCTGCCAGAAAAGATGTCTGTGCTTTCAGCACATGCACAGCACCCACCTCATGCCGTGCACCCACCTCATGCCATGCACCCACCTTCTCAAAGCGTAGTTGAGAGCAGAGCAATCTTGCATGACTGAGCACGTACGAAATCCGTCGTCCCATCGTCCCCCTCAGTCGTTGGCCGCCTCCCTATGCTGTTCACCCTCTCTTTCCTTGACCTGACAGGTACGAAACTGTCACTCGGCTACGCGGCATGGAGCAGGATTCAGATGGTGCGGGGAGGGCAGACTGCATGCAGCCCACGTGGGTGGTGGCCATGTCAGCCGACGTTGACAGCGCAGTTGCGGCCCGCGCTGCACAAGTGGGCATGAATGGGGTCATGCAGAAACCACTCAACGAGAAACAACTCTTGTATGTCCTGAGAACTCTATGATTAACAAACATATTACCGTTAATTAACCACTAATTTATCGACGACAACACGACATGACCATAGCACAATTGTGTAACGTCACTAACTACTGCAATAAGGCGGGTGCCTCCTCCCTCCCTGGAAAGGGGTTTTTATCCACCCATATTGTGACGCGTCACGGGTCTGCTATATCGGAAATGTACCTACAAGACTTATTGCTGGCACAACAAGGTGCCAAAACCCATCCTGATTGGGCCGCAAGGCATCTTTCTTGCCTTGCTGTGATGGCCACACATTCGTCTGGCCATTTGACATGCATTCTGTATGTATCTCCATTTGGGAGCATAACCGCCAGGGCCAGGGATTCAAGGGTATTTCACCCTGATTACCCCTGCCAGCGGCCGTTTTTAGGGATTACCCTGATTTTGTAAGGCTATTTTACTTCTGACCCTTAGTAAAATAGTGTAAGGGTTGTACTACCCCGCTGTAGTAAGGGGCCTCCCACTTTTACCCCTGCCCAGTCAGCGTGCGACGTAAAAGACCCTGTAACAGAAAACTGCAAGGGTCGCAGATTCGACAGCTGTTGAATCTGCGGTATCGGCGAATACCGTCCAGGCAGTCCCGCCCACCGACAGTCGAACCCACCTCGCTGGCACTGCCAGCGCTCTCGCGTGGGCACCTACAGCTCTAGGCGCGGCAACAATCCTGCCACCACAGCAGTCCTTGCACCGTCGACACTAATACAGCTATGCACGGCGGCAGCATTTCGTTCCCTTGCTCGCGTCGCCAAGCACCTGCACAGAAACTGCGGACATTCACGCGGACCGCGTGGTCCTTGAATAGCGCGGTGGGGTTTCGTCCTCAGCAGGGTTCCAACCCATCTTCCCTTCTCCCCTCCCTTTCATCTCCTCGTCGCTGGTTGCACAAAAATACTCACGACAGCTGTTGATTCCTTATTCTCCTCCACACCTGTTTCACACCCCGCCATGTCAATCTTGATGGAAGACGAGGACAGCGACGAGGCGCCAGAGGCCTGTCGCAATGGCCTTAGCGTCCTCGGCGTCTTCCCTCTCGCCCCACCAGCCGTAGCCCCATCGTTTTGTCACTCGTTTAGTCCCATTCCGCCATCGCGGTCGCTTAGTCCAACCGCTCGTCAGTCGCCAGCTAGCACTAAAACTGCCGACTCGCCTACAACTGCCTCTCCTGCTCCACAGTCTACATCCGTTGGGGAGCGCGTGCTCCCCGACGGCAGCGAGGGATGCTCCAACCCCTCGGACTCCGCGCCATCCGAGCGCATCTCTGGGCCTACGAAGCGCAAGAGGTCGGGTACCTGGTTGCAGCAATTTCTCTGGGGAGCCCCCCCTCCCCGTCGTCCAGTCACCCCCCCCCCCACAAGGTCAAGTTGAGGCCAAGAAGTTCGCCCCGATACCACCATTCCGACGAATGCAGCATACGCGAAATATGGTGTCATCAAGCAGCGCTTCGACAACGACTGGTCGAAGCGCTTCCCCTGGCTCCGCCTGAACCGAATGAAGAACGGCAGACCGGCACTCAAGTGCGCCGTGTGCTTCAAGCATGCCAACCCAATGGCCAACACAAACTAAGCCACGGCAAGCACCTCATCCTCTTCGCGACTTTCTTCAAGGGGAACTCGGTCGTCACCGAATTCATCACTCTCCTGAGCGTCGACCGCACGGATGCTGCTTCCTTGACAACGTCTCCTGCACTACATCCAATGAATTGGCCTCGACCTTCATAAGATTGTCGGAATCTCAACTTATGGCACCCCTTGGTCATGTCTGGCGCGCAAAACGGAGTGGTGGTGCGTATGCAGGCTCGGATCGAGCATCTGGTGTCTACACATTGCATCGCTTACCGGTACGTTCTCGATTGCATCTTCTTTGACGGTTGACCCTTTGGTGACGCATGCATCTGCCCTTTTTCTAATTGCACTCTCTTATTCATTATTGTTTACAGTATGTCCATGCAGTGAGGCACTGGCGGCGAAGGACGTCGCGGCCGACTGCCCAGAGCTCGCCAGGATCGACCTTGTCATACGGGTGCTGGCCGATATTCTGGGGCGCAGCAACGTATGGCACGGCCGGTTCATGAATCTGCAACTGATCTTCTGCCTCACGTCCCTGGAGCATCTGGGGTTTCATCTCATTCGCTGGAGCATCTTCTACGCGAACATGGGCGTGAGCTGTACGAAGTGGTGACGTCTTTCAAGTTCAACTTCTTGGTGCGGTTCTTGGCGGACGTCTTGACCGAGCTCAACCACCTCAACACCAAGTTCCAGCAGCGGCAGGTATGCTTTTACTTGCAGCACCAAAATAGATGCTCGGTCTGATGCTAATCGGATTGCTCCGGGCTTTAGGTTACCGCCTTGTACTAATGCACACATGGTTGCCCTCCCCTGCATGTGGATGTCACTCTGGTCGCGCACCACGTGGACCAGACCAAGCGGCGGATCGCGGCTCGTTACATCAACATGGGGCCTGGCCACATCTTTGGCCATAGCGAGAAGATGCACCTGCCTGCGTTCATTGCATTGCATGCCTCACCGGAGAAGCGGAAGATGCGGGCGGAAGGGGTGGATGGCGACGGCAAGCCTGTGAGCTTTGAGTTCACTCTGCATGAGCGACCTCTGCCTGGACATGCGACCGATGGTGACGTCACCGCCTGCTATGAGGTGTCTGTGAAGTACGTCAGCGCGGTGAACACGCATCTCGATCGCCGCCTACACGACCTGAAGAACCTGGAAGGGACCAAGCTCTTTCTGGACAGCACATACCTTCAAGACGTGCCATGCCGCCTTCAAGAAGTGGTTGAAGCAGTTGAACGGGCTCTTCCGCGGCAAGCTTCCTGGTACGTGGTGGCCGAATGTGTTGTACATGGCCATGTTAATGTTGTACCCGATCCGGAGACTTTTGTGCTGTAGGATGTGCATGCCGCCCACCGATGAATGCTTATTCGGGGCTCACACTCGGGCAAGCTTCCTGCCTTCCCTCCTCCATCTCCCTGCCCCCCTTCCCAAACCCGACCCCACCTCCCAGGCTTCGACTACAACCCTGCCGTGGGGGAGCTCTGGATGTTCACCTCAACCATGCATTCTCAGCACCACCTAGAAGATTTCCACCAAGCCCTCAGCAACACACTGCGAGACGACGACTGGAGTCGGTCGTACCCCAACATCATGAGGTTGTGGCAGGCGATGGCTGTTTTTCCTCTAAGCACGATGGAGTGTGAGAGGGGGTTCTCTAAGCAGAAGCTGATCAAGACGTGGGCGTGCGGCAGCATTGGAGATATCAGCCTTGGGCACTTGATGCGCTGCTCCCTCCTAGACTACGACGTCGACTGGTTCGATGTAGTTGTGTTTTTCCGTAGTGACAAGATCCGCCCGCCCATTCGGGATTTCACTGGCACAGTTCAGAGCACGCAGCAGTTCGTGGAGTCGGCCCGAGATTCAGAGGGGCCTGAAGGAGTTGCGGATTGAACAGATGTGGTATGTAGTTGTGATTTGTGAGCTGCATGACTTGGAGTAGTGGTAGCATTTGTAGGAATAATAGTAGCACGACTTGGTAGAAGCTGTGAGTCCAAGTTGTACGAGTTGTGTAGATATTTATAACTAGTTCATGTAGGAATATGGTACTGTTTCTAGATGTAACTAGATTTGAGACTAATTGTGAACATGAACAGCTCGGTTCTTAGCAGACATGGTATCTTGCAAATCACCCTTCCTGCATCAGTGTACTTTTTCTTTCCAGACAAAACACCCTAATTTTGTCAGGGTGCTGCTAAAAATGCCCTAGGAGCAAGGGTAAAAAAACCCCACTACCCTGATTCCTAAGGGTGCCTCAAAATCAATCCCTGGCCCTGATAACCGTTTGACGGGAAACAACTAGAGCTACATTTTGATGTCCTCAAATATTCTTCCCATAAAATCCTTAATATAAGCGCCCATGTGCTTATATCTGGGGGATTACGGCACATTACAACTTCAAATAATTTCTGGATACTACAATATGGGGACATTCAAGGCACCGCACGCACAGGTTGGGGCGTGTTCTCATAGCCCGTCAGACTCGCAGCCCGACCCAATCGCGTTTGCAACTGACCGGTGGCACCGCATTGTACCACATGTCTGACGGAGGCTGTGTGGGGACCTAGCGGCACGGCCTAAGATGCCTTGACAGCTCAACCTCCATGCTATGGCACACCTCCCACACTAAGTGTTATTATTGCCAGCACTCACCACCCCTTGCCCGTCACGCCCCCTGCCAACCTCATATTCCTCCCCTCCGGCAACAACCATGAATGGGCGGGCGGCAGAAGACACGACTCTGAACAGGCGGCAAAAGAAACGATTAACCATCCTACTACCGACTCTCAGAAAAATGCAATGAACTAGAATGAGTGATACACGGTGGTTTTTTCCTATGGAGTTGTACTCTCTATGAGCATGCACCTATCTAGCCTAAAACATATACAAATACATGTTGACACACCCCCTAGGCTAGACAAGGGGCAACGACTAGCAAGAGACACGTAGCTCAGGCTGGCACTACTAGTCCAACCTCTGAGGCAAGGGTCTGAAGACCAGGCAGCAAGGGTACAAACGAAACAAGAGTAACCCAGGGCAACACTACTAGTCCAGCCACTGGAACAGGAGCCACAAGGCCAGTCAAGGTAATATAAGACATAGTACACAATCAAGGTCCTAGCAAGTGAGAAGATACAGGAACTAGACCAAGCACAGTGCCGCTGATGATCTTTAGGCGCAAGTGCCTTTGTAAAGATATAAGTTGTATTGGCACCTGAGGCCAAGTGAACTAAGCGGGCCTAGCGGGGCTGCTGTAGCTCGCCGAGGAGGAAGTACCCCAGCTGGATGTGCTTCGCTCTGCCCTCCAGTCAAGGCTCCTGACATAGGAGGATCATGGCCCTATTTTCAGCGTATAGGACCGGAGCAGAGCTAGGCCGCTCACCTAAGTCTATGAGCAAAAAGGTCAGCCAGCGGAGCTCCAGTACCGCCATGGCACCAGCGTAGAACACAGCCTCACAGTTAGACTGGGCAACAGACGACGAATGAGAGGACCTCCACAAGATGGCGCCTGCACCAAGGCTACAGTAGTAGCCCACGAGCGCCCTCAGCATCGTCTGC